TCACCTCTCGCCTTGACTACTGCAACGCTCTCTACATGGGGCTCCCCTTGAGGAGCACCCGGAGGCTCCAGCTGGTCCAGAACGCAGCAGCGCGGGTAGTGACGGGAGCAGCATGGCGCTCCCATGTAACACCGCTCCTGCGCGAGCTGCACTGGCTCCCAGTTGTCTTCCGGGTGCGCTTCAAGGTGTTGGTTATCACCTTTAAAGCGCTCCATGGCATAGGGCCTAGCTATCTGCGAGACCGCCTGCTGCTACCGACGACCTCCCAGCGACCCGTGCGCTCCCACAGAGAGGGCCTCCTCGGGGTGCCATCAGCCAAACAATGCAGGCTGGTGACCCCCAGGGGGAGGGCCTTCTCTGTGGGGGCACCTACCCTCTGGAATCAGCTCCCCCCAGAGATAAGGAGAATCCAAGACCTCAGTGCCTTCCGTCGCGCCCTTAAAACCCATTTATTTAAACAAGCCGGGCTGGCTTAAGATGAAATTTTTAACTGTTTTTAAATGTTTTAAACGTTTTTAATTGGTAAATGAGTTTTAATTGGGCCAAATTTATATATCTTTTAATTGTTTTTAATATTTGTTCTGCATGTTTTTTAATCTGGCTGTACACCGCCCTGAGTCCTTAGGGAGAAGGGCGGTATAGAAATCCAATATAAAATAAAATAAAATAAAAATAAAATCATGGGAGACTGGAATGGAGTAATTGACTCCAAATTAGATAAAAAGACTCTGGCGAAGTCTAGGATTAGGCTACCACAGACCTTTTTTGATATGAAAGAAGATTTGGAATTAAAAGATATTTGGAGAATACACAATCCAAAAGAATTGGACTATACTTTTTTTTCAGATAGACATAGATCCTTCTCTAGGATTGATTTCATTTTGTTGTCAGATGATCTACTTGTTAAGACAAAAAGAACAAAGATTTTTCCAAGAACTTTGACTGGCCATAGCCCAGTATGGATAGAAATTGAGATAGGCAAGACTGAGAGACGCTCTTGGAGATTAAATGAGAACTTGTTCAGATATGAAAAAAATATAATAGAACTTAAAAAGCACTTGAAAGAATTTTTTGAAATAAATTTGAATAAAGGCTCCCCAATAGAAATTGTCTGGGATGCAAGTAAAGCTTACATGAGAGGGGTGCTTATCTATATGAACTCTAAACATAGACTGATTCGACAAAAGAAAAGATCTGAATTGGAAGCAGAAATAAAGAATAAAGAACAGTTACTTATTAAAAATCCAACAGATGAAAGAATATGTGGTGCTATAAAACTTCTGAAAGACCAATTTCAAATGCTTATGGCGGAACAAGTTGCAACAAACTTACAATATGCGAAGCATAATACATTTTGTAACGCTAATAAACCGGGCAGATGGTTGGCCTATACATTGAGGAAAAAACAGAGTATACGGACTATTGATAGTATTGATATTGGAGGGAAAGAAATTTTTCAACAAAAATTAATTAAAGAAGCTTTTGTGGATTATTATACTAACTTATATGCTAAAGAGGATGTGCAGAATGGACTTATAGAAAAATATCTAGATGATAAAAGAGTTATAAAAATTACTGACCAACAAAAGGAAAGAATGAATTATCCTATAACAGTGGAAGAGATAATAGTAGCAATTAAACAATTAAAAACAGCTAAAGCTCCTGGTACGGATGGCTTGACTGCAGTCTATTATAAAACTTTGCAAGTCGAAATGGTGGAACAACTTAGAGATTTATTGTGCAATATTCAACAAGGGGGTAAAATACCCCCATCATGGACAACAGCTTACATATCTTTGATACCAAAAGAGCAAGCCGGTCCTAAAAAACCGGAGAATTATAGACCAATATCTCTTTTGAACTCCGACTATAAAATTTATGCGAAAGTATTAGCCAACAGGTTGATGCCAGTAATTCAAAAGGTGATTCATGACGACCAAGCGGGATTTATCGAGGGTAGATACATGAAGGACAATGTAAGGCAAGTAATAGATCTATTGGAATATCTTGAGAAGAACAAACAGATCCCTGCAGTGCTGGTTTTCTTGGATGCAGAGAAGGCCTTTGATAGAGTGGATTGGAATTTTCTACTAAAGACTTTAAAAAAGATGAACTTTGGGGATCAATTTGTACAGGCGATTTCAGCAATTTATTAAGAGTAAAAGGCACAGATTATTATTAACGGAAGCTTGACAACAGAGTTTAAAATTGAAAAAGGAACAAGACAGGGATGTCCGCTGTCCCCACTTTTATTTATTTTAACACTAGAAGTCTTGTTAAATACAATACGGGACTCTAATATCTTGAAAGGTATAACGATAAGGCAAGAGGATTACAGAATAAAGGCATTTGCAGACGATCTAGTTGTTACCCTAACACAGCCAATGGAATCAATAATCCTGATGAAGGACATTATACAAGACTATGGTAAAGTTTCAGGTTTTAGACTGAATCACAAAAAGACTAAGATGATAGTTAAAAATATGACACAAGATCGTAAACACGAGCTTGAAGGGAGGGCAGGTTTTGAGGTTGTACCAAGGGTAAAATATCTAGGAGTCCAGGTTGCAGAATCAAATATGAAATTGTTTCAAAATAATTATGAGATGTTGTGGCGAGAGGTGCAGAAAGATATGGAGACTTGGAAAAAACTGCAACTGTCTCTACTTGGAAGAATAGCAGCAGTTAAGATGAACATTTTGCCAAGATTTCTTTTTTTGTTTCAAATGATTCCGGTGCTTAAAAGTGATAAACAATTGAAAGTGTGGCAAGCTGGAGTGAATAAGTTTGTCTGGAACGAGAAAAAGCCGAGAGTGAAATTGAAAATTATGCAAGATGTTCCAGAAAGGGGAGGTCTTAAACTACCAAACCTACAGCTATATTATGAGGCAGCAGCTTTGACTCTAACAAGTGATTGGTTTGGAAGGAAAAAGACTGGAATATTGAATGTAGAAAGTTTTGATCTTGAATTTGGATGGCATGCCTACTTATTTTATGATAACAAAGTCGACAAAGTATTTAAAAGCCATATACTTAGAGACTCTTTGATGAGAGTTTGGAAGAAGCACCGATTCAAATTGGATTATAAAATACCGCTATGGCTGGATCTTGGTCATACTTTGTGGAATACAAATATAATGTCACTCGGGGGGGGGTTTATAGAAAGAGGTTCTTTTTACAGATGCGGGCAGATGGCAGCTGAAGACACTACAGACACTGTTGGCTGAAGGGATTAATATAACCTGGCTACAATATAACCAATTGCAATTGAGATGGAAAGAGGACCAAAAAACTGGTATTATGTTGCACGAGGAAGAATTGGTTAGACATATAAAAGAGAAAAGTCCAATGCATATTAAAAGGCTTTATAATGTTTTGTTAGAAAGGGATTCAGAAACCGAACTAGTTAAAGATTGTATGATTAAGTGGGCTCAAAATTTTGAAGAACCAGTGATGTTGGAAACATGGGAAAAAATTTGGGTTCAGAATGTTAAATTTACACAGTCGCAGAATTTGAGGGAAAATTTCTATAAAATGTTTTATAGATGGCACTTAGACCCCAAAAAGTTATCATGTATGTACCCTAATGTTCAGCCAAAATGTTGGAGATGTGAATGTTTGGATGCTACATATTATCATGTTTGGTGGACCTGTAGGAAAGTTAAGGCTTTTTGGATAAAAATTTGGTGGGTCATGCAGAATGTTTTGAAGAAAAAAATTCAATTCTCTCCACAATTGTTTTTATTGGGTATAGTTAAGGGTTTTACATTGGGTGAAACAAAATTGATATTGTATATGATAACAGCAGCAAGATTGTTGATAGGTAAATACTGGAAGAATGAAGCCTTGCCCACTATTGAGGAATGGACTATGAAGATGGTCAGTTTTACAGAGATGGCGAAGATTTCAGCATACTTAAAAGATTGTTCACAAGAGACTTATGAATGGGAATGGAAAAAGTGGATAGAATATGTTCAGAACAAATATCAAACTAGGAAGTATCAAATAGCTTTTACTTGAAAATAATGTATTAGAAATTTTTTAATGTAATGAAGATAAAAAGAGAAATTATAAGGGGGAGGGAGGGGTTCAAGTTTTATACAAGTTTTATACTAAGGGGGGTTTTGTATCGGATATGAGTATATTGTGTGGAAGTCTGGGGGGAGGGGAGGGTTAGGGAGGTTTGGAAGTTTGGGGGGGTGGTGGGGGGGGGGGGAAAGGGGAGAAAATGTAATTGTAAAACTTTTGCAATAAATATTTAATCTGGTCTCTAGTTTGAAATTGCTTCTAGATTGTCTGTTTGCAATGAGAAAAAAAATGAAACTTTGATTCTGTTTTGTAAACTAGGCAGGTTTATTGTTATAGAAATCATGTGTACATTATGTTGTGTAAAAGCAAAACGTTATGGTTGTAATGTTACCTTCGACTGTACCAAAGAAGGTCAAAAGTTGATGCCTTTTTTTTCCTCCTAGTACACTATAGCCCCTCTTTTCCTCTCTTCTTATTTTTCCATGTTTTTTTTTCATTGTATTTTATACTTTGATAAACTAATAAAAGTTTACTTGAAAAAAAACCACTCACAAACATTCATGAAAATATTAGGGAGGCACTTCCAGGCATCAAGATGTAGATGATACACAAAGCAATTTCTGCTTCTCCTTTTTTATCCCTTTCCCCAATGATAGGAAAAGAAGATTATACTTAAAATACAGTAGATTTAGCCTAAGTATTCATGTCTCCTTTCTGCTTTACTTGGGACAGGCAACAAGAATCTGCTGTCTTGTATTTTTTGAAACCAGAATAATACAACCACTAAGGAATTCCATAGACCTCCAAATCTTTGTTGAGAGGTGGGCCTATTTGACTGATCATAAATGTAAATTTCTAATTTCTTTGTTGTGCTTTGCTCAGGAATAGCAGTATCATAGGTTGAGTCCCCAAAGGAAACCAGACGTCTCCTACTCCTCCCCCCTATAAGGTGCTAATCTCTTCCTTCCTACCTGAGTCAGGAATCCAGCGGCTCTTTCAGCTTCACCAATAGAAGAAGATGATTCCATGAACAACGGTGACTCCATTTTGTCCACTGGGAAGGAGAGAGACAGGAAAGGGTTCAACTTCATCTTTTCTAGCTTGAAGGCACAATTTAAGATTTCTTCCTGTCCTGCCCAGGAAACCTCCATTTTTCTCTCTTCAACACTCTGCCTTTCATAGGCTCCATCATGGGAGCCAAGAATAAAAGGAGAAGACCAAACGCACCACTTCCTGAAGAACAAACCTCGGTTAGATTGTTCTCCTAACCTTTTGGAACAACACATGGAAGTTTATATTCTTGGCAAACAAAGCATTTGCTCAATCACTGTAAATCCCCCCTCCCACTCTCTGCAGTTTGAAATCAGAGAAATTAGCGATATTCTAGAAACCAGGAAACATGCCTGCAAGGACAGTGTTGGAAATGGCCCAGCAGGGATCCGTGTAGGAATTTAGTCAAAATTATCTGTTTAAGGAAAGCCAAAAATAAAGAGAAATCTCTCAGGATGGAGGAGGAGCCAGAATGCAACTCAAGATGCCCCTACAAGAGTATGTCTTCTGGGAAAGACCAACCATAGCCTTGCTCTGAAGGGAGGGAATTCCTTTGTGCGCCTTAAGTCTTCTAGCTTGAAGAGAGAGTTCGATCTTTCTTATTGGGTCAACTTCTAAGTCCAATGACTAAGACACGACAAGACACCCAGAATTAAGGATAACTAGACTCTTTCTAGAAAGTCTCCAACCCAGTGGAACAGTCTCCCCTTACCTAGAGAGGTATCCTGATCTGGACTTTTATCCTTGGGGATCCCTCTGAAAGACAGATCAGGAGAAAGATTTGTGCGGATCCAGCGAATTCCTCCCCATTCCTGGGAGAACCTCAGAACCTGAAATATAAGCAAAGAAGAGCAGTTAAAAGGACAGGACAAAAGAGGAGCTTCATTTTATTTTCTGCCCACAAAACCCTTGTGTCCATCAGTGGCGATGGATGAGACCCAATAGGGAAATTCAGGGAGAAATGGAAGAATTCAAGCAGGTGAAGATCCCTTCAGATTCCACAAAAGAAGCTTCTCTGACCTGCACCTCTTCCTGCTTCTCTCCTTTGACAGGCTCAGCAGGGATCTTACAGCCACTGGCAATGCCACTATCTGGTCTCCGCTAGCTCTCCAAAGATCCTCCCAGCCTCAGAATCTGAATCTGAATCTAAACGGAGGGTTCCTTTAGGCTTCCTTCTCTCCTCCCCTCTCCCCAATTCATAGATCTCCCCGCATGCGCAGCCAAGAGCAGTTATGGGGCGGACTTCCCGCTCCCTCTAACCTCAGAATATCCTTCCCTCCCTGGGCAGGATCTGAATCGTGGGAACCCCTCTTGCCCGCTTCCACCGGATTTCCAGGGAGCAACTCTCAGCCGGAACATAGAGAAAACTCATCCAGAGTGGAGCAAGCGCAGTGGCCTCGTCAGTCGGCAGCCAAGAGAGCGCCCCCTACTGCCACCTGGGGTGAAGTCGCTGCCCACACAGAGAGACAGAGAGAGAGCCAGGAGTGTCAAAGGTGCTTTTTCAAGAGGTAACTGGACTTTATTTTTCTCTTTGAAAACCTTTTGATTCTTATCCAAGATGCTTCTTCAGCTCTAACTGGAGGGTGGGGAATGGAAGGATTCATACTCCTTGCAGAAAGCCTGGTCACTTGCATCCTTTGAGAGAGGCCTTGAGGCCACTTGCAGATTTATCTGGGTCCACCTCAGGTTCACCCGAGTTGTGCAAATGTGTGCGGAGCCTTCGTGGAACTTAAGAAGGTATCCCTATATTGCTTATGGCTTATATCAGTCTTATATACTGCTCCACAGTGCTTTACAGCTCTCTCTAAGCAGTTTACAGAATGATCATGTGGCCCCCAACAATCTGGGTCCGCATTTCCCCCACCTCGGAAGGATGGAAGGCTGAGTCAACCTTGAGCTGGTGAGACCCGAACTGCCAAACTGCTGGCAGCCCGTGATCAGGAGAAGAAGCCTGCAGTTACTGCGTTCTAACCACCGCACCAACGCGCCCCGATTGTATTGTAAACTACATCCTCCTCAAACTGGGACCAGAGTTGCCTCTGAGTTTTCTCCTCCTTCACCTTCCGGAAGGGATGAGGGAGCCAGGAGGGCAATCCCGGCTTCCATCCTCCAAACGTCCCACAAAAGGCTCCCTGCAGCGATACATTTCATCCAGATGTTTCACCTTTGTGTAAATAAATCCCAGGGGAAACAGGGAGATTTCTCCAAGAAATGGGAATGCAGACTCAGACCTCCATCACCGAGCTTCAGTATTCATGTAATACCGAATTATGTCATTAAGGATGGAGAGAAAAGCGTGGAGGGGAAAATGAGGCCACGACCCTGGAAGACAGAGATGGATGGGAAAAACATCCTCATCACCTGATGCTTCTCAGCCGTCAGACTCCCCGGGAGGTCAGGGAAACGGGCCATACAGAAAGGCCTCTGGAAAGCCAGAGTGGGTCCTGCACTGGAAGGCTAGAGACACGTGTCACGGGGGTCGTGGGAAAAACAAGTGAGCCGTGGCTGGAGGAGACCTCTAGATTTGGGGCCTCATTGGCTCGTAGCCTGGGATTTCCCCATCTCAGCAATCGTTGCGGAAAGGTCCCCTGCAGTTGCGCTGCACACAATCAGTGGAGCCCCTCCCCCTTTCTCTTTCTGCTCCAAAGGCTTTCTCGGCAGAGACAAATCACCAGAAATTCTGCCCAGAGACCGATGACTCATCAGAAGCGAAGCTTCCCATTGGTGCAACCGATTTCTGTCAGGCCAACTCTGAAATAAGGCCAACTCCGCCCAATTCCACTTCTCTTGGGGAGGGGGCTTGGGGGAAGCTTCCAGGGGCTCCGCCTGTTGCCGCTGCTGGTGGGGACGTCGGCGGGAGCCCTGGAAACAAAGGGGTTCCCAGCATTCGGCTCTTCTGCAGGGAGTCCTGGAGTCTCAGAGGAGTGGGAGGAGCCTATTCTGGCGGGAAGAGCGGAGACGGAGACAGAGGCTGCTCTGAGGGAAGAGCCACCATGGGAGTGGTGGTCTTTGGGGTCCTCAGGGAGGGACTAGACTCCTTTCTCTGGGTCAGACACCGAATTGGGCCTCCTTCTGGTCCCCTCTCCTCCCTCAGGGGCCCCTTTCCGGCTTCTCTGTTGGGAGACCCCCAGGGAACCCTTTAAAGTCATACCCTCACTGAGGCGAATGAATCGGCCGATCCCCAGATCCCCACACTGGATCCCCTGTCAAGCCCTCAGCCTCCAATCGCCCCCAAAGACCCTTCAGAATAATGATGGTATTTGGCTCAGGGCTACATTTGCAAAGGGAAAGAGTGGAATCCGTGGCTGGACAATCAGGTATATCTAGGCTGACTAGTCAAACCCAAACCCTGCAACCGTTCTTCATATGTTTTAGTCACCAGGCCTTTGGTCACCTTAGTTGTTCTTCTCCAAACTTTTTCCAAAGTCTCAACACCTGTGACCAAAATTAGTTGTAGTATTCCAGGTGTGGACTTAGTAAAGCGGTACTAATACTTCAGCAGATTTTGATTCTATGCTTCTGCCTGTATTTGGGAGAGATTTTCAGTGGCTGGGATGGAGGGAGGGTGTGGCTGGTAGAAGGTGGGAGGCCTCGACCAACTAGTCATGGCCAGGTGTGTGGCCGGCTTGGCGCAGCTCCCTTTGGCTAATTTCTAATTTCTACCTCTATTGTCTAACCATTGATTACACAAATCCCATGTTAAAATACATTGTGTCTTTGTCCTTTATCTTTAATGTTAACCTATCCATTTCTGTACAATCTAGTATTTTTCTAATTATATTTTGGTCTGTAGGAGTTTCCTCATTCTTCCAGTGTTGTGCAAATTCAATTCTCGCTGCTGTCAATATATGTAGTATTAAATATTTGTTCCCTTTGTCATATTTTTCTGATATTATACCTAACAAAAATATTTCTGACTTTAAATGTATATCTTGCTTTAACTATGTGTTAACGATATGTTGCTTTAACTATGTATTTGACTCAGCCTTCCATCCTTTCTAAGGTAGGTAAATTGAGGACCCAGTTTGTGGGGGCAATAAGCTGACTTTGTATAAATATACAAAAGTATGAAGGCTATTGCTTAAGATATAATAAGCCGCCCTGAGTCTCCAGAGAAGGGCGGCATATAAATCAAATTTAAAAAAACAAAACTCTAATTATGTGTGTATTATGTGTGTATTTTCGTCCAATTTTTTTTTTTGCCTTTCGGCATGTTCACCACTTATGGTAATAAGAGCCCGGTTTACATTTCCTGATTACATTTCCAACATTTAGCAGACAGGTTTTTAAACATCTTGGCTATTCTTCCTGGTGGCAAATGCCACATTTGTTGTATTAATCTTTTATAGTTACCTTTTTTAATTGTACTTCTTCCTGTTAAGTAAAGTCCCAAATATTTAACTTTCTTGATTACCTGAAAATCTATCTTCTTTCTTTCTTTATTTATTTATTTTATAAAATTTGTATGCCGCCCTATCTCCAAGGACTCAGGGCGGCTCACAACGACAGTCGACCAAGCGACTATTAAAAACAACGAATATACATAAAAAATCAAGAAAGTTTTTTTTTAAAAAAAAATTAAAATATACTACCCCATCAGTCCAGCCCTTTGTCCATTCATTTTTCTGTTAATCCGTAAGGGAAATAAATTGACTGCTGTCCACAGGATATTTTCCTGCCCATTGTGGGTTGTTTCTTGAGAAGGATTCTCTTTCACAAAAACTCCTTCCGCATTCCGTACATTTCTATTTCCCTCTTTTGTGGATCCTCTTATGGACAGAAAGGCTACTATTAAATCTGAAGCTGTTCCCACATTCCAGGCATTTTTAAGGTTTCTCTCCGGTGTGGGTCCTTTTATGAATAGTCAGAGACCTACTAGCAACGAAGGTCTTTCCACACTCTCTGCACTTATAAGGTTTTTCTCCTGTATGGATCCTGTTATGGTAACTAAGTTGACTGCTTCGGCTGAAGCTCTTCCCACACTCTCTACATTTATAGGGTTTCTCTCCTGTGTGGATCCTCTCATGAGAAGAAAGAGAAATTTTGCTAGTGAAGCTCTTTCCACACTCCATGCATGTATAGGGTTTCTCTCCCGTGTGGACAATTTTATGGCGATTCAGTCCACTGCTGGTATTATAGCTGTTTCCACACTCCATGCATTTATAGGGTTTTTCTCCTGTGTGGACCCGTTTATGGGTAGCAAGGTCACAGCTTTGCCTGAAGCCCTTCCCACAGTCTAGGCACTTATAGGGTTTTTCTCCTGTGTGGATCCGTCTATGAGAAGTAAGAGAACTCTTTACACTGAAGCTCTTTCCACACTCCATGCATTCATAGGGTTTTTCTCCTGTGTGGACCCGTTTATGCGAAGCAAGGGTACCGCTTTGGCTGAAGCCCCTCCCACAGTCTAGGCATTTATAGGGTTTTTCTCCTGTGTGGATCAGTGTATGACAATTAAGAGCACCGCTTTGCCTGAAGCTCTTTCCACACTCCATGCATTTAAAGGGTCTTTCTTCTGTGTGTATCTTTTCATGGGCTGTAAGGGAACACTTTGTTCTGAAACTTTGTCCACAAATCACACATTTATAAGGTTTTTCCCCGGAATGGATCCTTTTGTGGCATATCAGGTAATTACTACTTGTAAAGCTCTTCCCACATTCTATGCATTTAAAGGGTTTTTCTCCAGTATGTACCCTTTTATGGGAAGTAAAGGAACCCTTCACACGGAACCTTTGTCCACAATCCACACATTTGTAAGGTTTTCTCCCCGTATGGATCCTTTTGTGGCATATCAGGGAACTACTAGTTGTGAAGCTCTTCCCACACTGTTTGCATTTAAAGGGTTTTTCTCCTGTGTGGATCCGTCTATGTGAAGTAAGAGAACTCTTTACACTGAAGCTCTTTCCACACTCCATGCATTTATAGGGTTTTTGTCCTGTGTGGAGCCGTTTATGGGAAATAAGGCTACCGCTTTGCCTGAAGCTCTTCCCACAGTCTAGGCATTTATAGGGTTTTTCTCCTGTGTGGATCCGTTGATGACAATTAAGACCACTGCTTCCCCTGAAGCTCTTTCCACACTCCATGCATTTATAGGGTTTTTCTTCTGTATGTATCTTTTCATGGGCTGTAAGGGAAGACTTTGTTGTGAAACTTTGTCCACAAATCACACATTTATAAGGTTTTTCCCCGGAATGGATCCTTTTGTGGCATATCAGGTAATTACTACTTGTAAAGGTCTTCCCACATTCTATGCATTTAAAGGGTTTTTGTCCAGTATGTACCCTTTTATGGTACCTAAGGGAACTCTTCACACTGAAACGTTTTCCACAATCCACGCATTTATGGATCTTTTTATCAGAAATTGAATTACTGCTTTTTCCACAGTCCACATCGTTGTAGGGCTTCCCCCTTGCCTGGTTCTTTTTATGTGAAGTAAGATTATTACTGCTGGAGCTTTTTCCTGATTTGCAGTGATTACTAGCATTGGGGTTTGCTTTGAATCTTTTTCTACTTTGACATTTCCACGTATTTTCTTTGGAATCACGTTGGGTCAGGAAGTGATCCATTTCTACACATTCAAGAATCAATTTTTCTCTCCACTTGTGCTTCTTTTTATGTTTCTTCCTTCCCCGCTTATTTGTAGATGTCTCTACAAATAAGGAATTTCAGTTGTGATTATTTGCAATGGCACTAAATTTGGCTCTTGGTCGTTTTCCTTCTTCTGCGCCTAAAATGCTTGTAGGGAAAGAAAAATAAATTAGAATAATCTACAACCTCTACTTTGGTGTCCCTATGCATTGATTTATCTATTATTCTGGGCATGTCCGGAGAAAGGAATGAGGGAAATGACAGCATGAATATTACTTATTAACTTAAAAGACTAGCATGGCTACTCATCTAACCCTCATTCTTGGCAGTTAAAAATTTAAAGCAAAAACACATGTTGACATCAGGACGTGGCACACAAATTGTCTTGGCTATGACGCACCCAACTTGCATTCAATAAGACAACATATATCACTGCAACACAAAGGAAGACACAATTGTGCAGATCAAATGAGTAGGATCTCTTTTGATCTGCAAATCCTAAAAGCACAAATGTCTATGGAGATTCCCAATCATTCATGGTCATATTTGTCCCAAAAGGTGCTTCAGAAGTTTCTTCAGCTTCTTGGATGAGAAGCGAAACGTCTTCAAAGACAAACCAGGAAGTCCAGTTGCCTCTTGAAAAAAGCACCTTTGGGATTAAAATCCAAAGTAAAAATTCTTGATGGGATGTTTCCCTAGGTGGACCCATCACATGATATGATAAAAAGGGCAGAATCCACAGCCTACTGCTGACATTCAATTAGTTCATGTTTTATCACCTTGACTGAGTCTGCTGACTTTCAATATCAACTTGCCTTGATCAAGGGGCATAGAGTGCCTTAGATAAACCATCTACCAGTGGCCCCAATATTTCATCATGTTTGCAAGAGGTTATGTGGGATTTCTGTCTGACATCGTAACCAAATGGTCTTTGTGATTCTTTAACGAGGCAGCTTTGCTCACACGCATGAATATTTCCATTTAATTTTTTTATTAGTTTATCGAAGTATAAAATACAAAGAAAAAAAATCAGGGAAAGGAAGAAGAGAGGAAGGAAAAAGACAGGATGACATGGCCAGCAGGTGTCATGCCCAGAGAATCTCCTCACCCTGGACCAAGGCTCTGCAACCTGAAGCCATTTGGATCAGTTTCCCATAGAAAACACCAGGAGCCACAAAACCTGAGTCGGCATGGCCAACACAACATCACTCACTCCCACCTAATCACATGACCACCACCTCCAGCCACATCTACCTAGGTTTTGTGGCTATTACCATGCAGCTGTATTAACATGGGTGAGGGAAGAGAAGAGAAGAGAAGAGAAGAGAAGAGAAGAGAAGAGAAGAGAAGAGAAGAGAAGAGAAGAGAAGAGAAGATTTGGGAGGGACCTTGGAGGTCTTCTAGTTCAACCCCCTGCTTAGGCAGGAAACTAAACCACTTCAGACAAATGGTTATCCAACATCTTCTTTAAAAATTCCAGTGTTGGAGAATTAACAATTTCTGGAGGAAAGTTGTTACACTGATTAATTGTTCTAACTGTCAGGAAATTTCTCCTTAGTTCCAAGTTGCTTCTGTCCTTGATTAGTTTCCACCCATTGTTTCTTCTTCTACCCTCAGGTGCTTTGGAGAATAGTTTGAGGCCCCCTTCTTTATGGCAACCCCTGAGATATTGGAAGACTGCTATCATGTCTCCCCCAGTCCTTCTTTTCATTATTTATTTATTTTATTTATTTATTTATTATATTTCTATACCGCCTTTCTCCTGTAGGACTCAAGGCGGTTGTCAGCCTCAGCTTTTCTGCTTTAGCTGCCATAAGAAACGGGGAGGGATTAGGTATGGAGCAAAGGGGGGGAAGAGAGCAGGAGGGGGTTTGTCTTTGTAGGAGGGGACTTCGTGGGAATCGAAACTGGATTTCAGAAGGGGACGGCTGACCAACTGTCTCGACATTCCTGATGGATGACGCTGCCAGACGTGTTGCCACCTGACCTTTGGAAGACCTTTAGATTGGCTGAGAAAATATAAACACGAGGGGGGGGAAGAAGCTTAGTAGATGCATTTCGCGCGTTTTGTTCACTTCCAGCTTTTCCTGGGCTGTTAATCTTTCATATTCAGTAAAAGTACCAAATTCTTCAAAATGCTTGAGTTTGGGGTTTTCTTTCCTGGATACTGAAGGAAGCATACCCGACATTAAGCTGGAAGTCATCCCAGTCATCCCGGACAAAACCCGAGGGGACTGAAAATCCAAAGTATGTCAGATCGAGGGAGTGATGAAGAAGGGAAGATGGGGGCAGCGAGTTCAACCGCCCTCCAGTCGGAAAGAGAAACTGCAGAATGGCTGGAAAAACTCCGTTTGGAGCCGGAGGAAGCTAGATGGTTCAAAGGAGTGGGGAGACTGCCGGACTGGGGGGAGAATCCCCAGGGAGTGACGACTTCCAGACCCCGAAAAAGGGAGGTAGTGTGGATGCAACAGCAGAAGGAACGTCTCATGATAGATCAAGCCTTGCAGCTTATCCGTGATGTGGAAGAAAGCAGAAAAAACCGTGAGTCTTTTGAAACTCCTGTGGAGAAGGGGGAAGCAGACCCCAGGGGGGAGGCCGAAGAGACAGCCTGCGGGGGAGAGGAAGAGTTTGAGGAGGGAACATCCCAGGCTTCGGCAGCTTGAGGGAGAGATGCAGCCGGCCAGAGAACCCCAGCCCTGCAGGCCCCCCCCCCGCAGACGTAAAAAGTCAAAAATCCCCCCCCTTCCTGGGAAGTTTGATGGAAATCCTAAAACCTTGGGATTTTTCCTGACCCAAGTGTGGAACCACATGCAGGATTGGGGGGAGAACTACGAAACAGAGGCGGCTAAAGTCAGAAGCGTTGCGAATGCCCTAGAGGGAGTGGCGGCTGAGTGGATGGTGGTTCTCCACAATAACAACTCCCTCCTGCTGAGAAATTACAACCAGTTCATGAGGGCCCTTAGAAGGCGTTTTGAAGACCATTTAGCTGAACGAAAGGCGAGACTCAGAATGAAGAGCATTCAGCAGGGCCGGAGGCCGGTGGCAGAGTATATCCAAGAGTTTTGTGAACTGGCACCTTATATGACAGGCTGGTCAGAAATGGCTCTTTTGGAGAGTTTCAAGGATGGATTGAATGAAGAGATATATCGAGATTGCAGGAGCATGGGGGTCCCCGATGATTTGGATAGATGGTACATAGTAGCTGAGGATGTGGAGATCGAGCTGAAACGGAGGGAACTCCGAGGAAGGCGGATGGGGGACCAGTCATCCTCTTTCTACCGTAAGGGGGCGGCCAAGATGACTGGCGGGAAGACCGAATTCAAACCCAAGTCAAAGCCCTTCACCTGTTTCAAATGTGGGAAGGAGGGTCACCGGGCGGCCGAATGTTTCTCCAAACCACCGCCAAAAGCCACCGGGGCCAGCCAAAAGAAAAGCGATAAAATACCCGTCAAAACCCGCGGCACCGCCCTGAAAGGAGAAGTCGTTGAGTTCACTCCCCGGAACCAGCGTGAGTTGGGAACTCCGACCAACGATGACGACAGCGAGACGGACTCCGACTCTGACACCGACGAACGGGTGAGTCACACGGAAGAACCCTTACTCATCCCCGTAGAAGTAAGGGTGCCCTCCACAGGAACTCACGCGCAATTGTTAGCCCTGTTGGACTCGGGGTGCACTAGGTGCATAATTAGCCCCAAAGTAGTAGAGGAAATGGGACTGAGACTGAAAACTTTAAAAAGACCCATTGCATTTTGTCAATTAGATGGGTCGATTGCAGGAGGGGGCCCAGCTAGTTTTATGACCGAACCCCTTGAACTACAGTTGGGGAATCATGTAGAGAAGCTCAGTTTTATCGTAGCACCTGGCATGGAAAGACCCCTGATTCTAGGACTGCCCTGGCTTCGTAAATGGAACCCACGAGTAAATTGGAAAACGGGGGTCCTGCGCATCCGTACGGCAGACCCAACTCCGGAAAAGGAAGGCCCCTCCCTAAGGGACGACATAAGACCAGAAGGGGCAGCAGTAGCCATTAACTATATTGAGGGAGAAGAGAAAATTCCGAAGGAATATTGGGACCTCAAGGAAGTGTTTAGTGAAAAAGCATCGGATGCTCTGCCTCCCCACAGGGCCACTGACTGCACCATTGAAATACTCCCAGGGGTGAAGCTTCCCAAACCAAAAATATACCCTATGACACCTCGAGAATTGGGGGAATTGCGAAATTTTATTGACAAAAACTTAGAACGGGGATTTATCGAACGAGCTAAACCCAAGGTAGCAGCGCCAGTAATGTTCCGCGAAAAGAAAGATTGATCCTTCAGATTAGTTGTTGATTATAGAAACATGAACGCCATTTGCGTGGAAAATGTCTATCCCCTCCCACTTATGAAGGACATGTTGGCCCATTTAGGAAAGGGAAATTTTTTTACCAAACTTGATTTAAGAGAGGCATACTACCGAGTGAGAATAAAAGAGGGAGATGAATGGAAGACAGCATTTAATTGCCCACTGGGATGTTTCCAATTTAGAGTACTCCCTTTTGGACTACAGGGGGCCCCAAGTACATTTCATACCTTGCTCAAAGATCCCTTCAGCTAAAACCCTCGCAAAATTGTTTATTCGGCAGATTTACCGACTACATGGGTCTCCAAAAAGAATAATTTCTGACAGGGGTGTGCAATTTACTTCCAGTTTCTGGAGAGAATTTTTAAGATTGATAGGTTCTGCACAGGGGTTGAGTTCCAGTCACCACCCTCAGACAAATGGCGCTTGTGAAAGAACCAATGGGGTGCTCGAACAATACCTTAGGTGTTACGTGAATTACCAACAGGACAATTGGGTAGACTTGTTGCCATTTGCAGAAGTGGCATATAACAATTCTGTACACAGTAGCACCGGATTCACCCCTTTTAAGGTGGCATCGTGCCAGGATTTTGTACCCATTCCCGAGTTACCTCAAGATGATCCCCAAAATCCCTCCTTGATAGATTGGATGGAACAACTAAGGAGCACCTGGACAGTGACTCGGAAGGCATTAGATGAGGCACACCGAGCTCATAAGGCACAAGCCGATAAGAAAAGGTCCCCAGCTCACATTTATAAAGTGGGGGATAAAGTCTATTTGTCTACCAAATACTTACAAACCA